AGGTAGACCACGAGAACAAACCGAAGGGTGAATGAGAGGGGCTGGTTGGGTGGTAGCCCCCCTCCCTGTACCAACCAGCGAGCTCCCACTGCGCACTAGTTTTTGAGCAGCGCCGACCCGCTCACAGGAAATTGCGTCACCCGGAAGACCGCAACACAACCCCACACATGCCCAAACAAAACACGACAGGCACCTGGATAAAACCGGGTCACAAAGGCAGAATAGAATTAAGCTGCGTATTCCCCTTCTTTTTTTTTTCTTTTTTTTTGCTTCTCTCTGAAGGTGAGGCGATGAGGCGTTTATTTTTATTTACATTCTAATAATTTTCCTTCGTATTTGTACTAGAGACGGCACAAGGCCACTCTGGGGGACCACTAAGGGGACCACTCAGGGGGCCACTAAGGGAGCCACTAAGGGGACCGATTAAGGGTAACGCTAAGGGAAGGAACGCTAAGGGGGACTGTTAAGGGGCTGAGCGGTCACCCCCCACACCGCCACCACCCTGATGGAGGGTCTAGGGGGCGCCACCCAAGGCACTTTTTACGACGGTGGCGGTAGTGCATAACACAGATAAGAGAGGGGGAGGAAAGCAGTGGTGAGGGAGGGAGAGGGGTGGTGAAGGAGGGGGAAGGGTGGTGTGGTGAGGGAGGGAGAGGGGGTGGTGAGGGGTGGTGTGGTGAGGGTGCTGTGAAGGTGGTGGGATAGAGGTGGTCTGGTGAGGGTGAAAGGAAGAAAGTGAATATGCGGTTGAGGTTACGATGGAAAGGATGAGAAATGGTTGGGATGGAGAGAGGAAAGATGAGAGTGAAAGAAAGGGTTGTGGAGTGGGTGCTCAGGGTGGTTAGCGAGACATGATGGACCTGGAAAAGGACGATTAAGGAGAGGGCAGGGTGATGGGGATGAGGGAGAGGTGTAGAAGGGGTGGTGAGGATAGGGGGAGAAGGTAAGGGAAAAATAGGGAGGGTATTAAAGGTGGGGAGGGTGATGGGGAGAGGGTGGGGGAGGGTAATAAGGGTGAGCGAGGGTGATGAGGGTGGAGAATCAGATTGAGATTCTCCCCACGCAACGCAGGGAGGGGGGAGGAAGAGGGGGGAGAGGGGAGGGGGAGAGTTTATTTGGCACCCCCTTACATCCTGTGTAAGGCGAAGCGCAGAAGCATTTTTAGAGGACGAGGAAGAGATCAAAAGTTAAAGTCCCTCATACCTCGTTCACTATCCATCACTTTACACTCAGATATACAGCAAAGACGATTATATATATATATATATATATATATATATATATATATATATATATATATATATATATATATATATATATATATATATATATATATATATATATATAATTAAGAACATAAATATAATCCCAGTTACAGACATATAATAATTGCACATAAATGGCTAAGGCAAAGTTCAGAAGGTAAAACAGTCTGCTCACTCTCCTGGAAAAAATAATGATTAGCTGAATACCAGAGAGTAGGAACCGAGGCACCCACACCCACACACCTGCCTCAATAACAGTAATTGACAAGGTAACCAACCAGGTGACTGTGATAGGTGTTAGGTGGCGTGAGGCTAGGGTCTTTGACAGGCGGCCACGCGTATAATTTCCCCCGTTTTTTCCCCTATAAAGCACTTTCTATTATGCAGCAAAATATTCTTACGTTTTATATGACAGTAGTGACTTAGCCAGTGGGTGGATGACACAGCAATTACATCGTTTATTTATTGTTGTAGTCAGCTGAACGGGCACATTTCGCTACAAAGGTTAATTTGTTTGTCCCTGGATTTTCCCTGATTATGGGGTTTTAGCAAAATTCCTTGACTTTTCCCATTTTTTCTTTCTAATAAAAATTATATTCCTTGCCTGGCAGGATGAGTTCTTACCCTGTTTGACAACGGATTGGAGCACAAATCAAGTCTCCCAATTCAATTCTAGAAACATTTATGCAATTATTTAGAATACCACAAAGTATATAACAAAAATAAATACCGTACCCTCACCATGTTTACAGACGCCATAACCCTTATCACCTTATACCCAGGATAATCTTCCACAATCACGACCAGACGTACTGTACAGAAAACACGCCAGAACTACTAAAGGAATTCATCATTAAGAAAAGAAATGAGAGATGAAGACAAAAGTAAGTAATATTAATGTATTTCTTTAACCACAAACAAACCTGAGTCATAACTACCGGTTGCGAGTTTTATCACTAAGGTATAGTAAACAATCACTCGGTAGCACAGTCATCTAACACTGTCACTGGTAACTGGTGAAATATAACGACACAAAATCCTTCCCACAGAGCTGACCTGTGAAGAAAGCCATACTTATCAGACAATTGTAACAGAAACACAAACTGTTGCGTCAAGCGTTACCGACAAGGTCAAAACGGAAATTGATACACGGTAGATGACAAGAGAGCAGCGTAGGAGATCAAGGGTCGGGGACGATGACTATGGTGTAATAAGAACAAGACGGAGATACTCACTCGCGGCGCAGTGGTGATGCAGAGTGGGCATGAGAGCCCGGCCGGAGCGACACGCCTCATGCCTGAAGGCGCACCAAGACGGGTAGGTGCGACCATCGGAGGCACAGACCGGGCGAGAGGAGGGGCGACACGAGTCCAGTGAGTCACACAAGGTACACTGCGGTTTGGAGTTGTCTGGGCGGGTGAGGCAGCGCTCCTTACGCCAGCATCTCACATCGCTGCATGTCGCATCCTCTACAGGGGAGACAACACAGGTGCACATGTACACACACTCACTATACCTGCCTCCTTACACTTACAAACTGTACGAGCGTCTTTACACACTTATACAATCCATACCTACATATACATACTGTTAACAAACATTCACAAACCGCAGGCAAATATGTATAAATATTAATTTGCTCCAAGGACGTTAGGTACAAAAATATACAAGAGCATCTCACACCTTACATTCACAGTATATTAACACTAGTGATAACAACATCACCTCGCATCATAAACAAACATTAGTATTCTTACTCACGTGAGCCATGAGAACATAACAACGCTCATACAAGGAAGAATCGGCCTTCACAAAATAAAAAAAAATTCTACTACAAACAAGCTCTTAAGCTCGAAGTACCTACTTTATAAACAAGAGGGTAATGAATTTAACATATCTAAAATTTATAAGCATGCAAGAAATGTACCCAGTGAAAGCAGACTAACAGGTTGTGTGTACCACGAGGGTGTATCGCTGGTGTGGTATAGCAGAAGTGTACATTTAATACACTATTATGTACACCTAAACAATAGTTTATTTATTAGGTAACCTCATCTTGTACTATCCTCCACAGGGACCCTACACCTTTAGAAGGTCAACCTTTACAGAGGCCCTGCCTCTGTAGGAGACATACCTCTACAGGGGCCCTTGTATGCCCTGGGTATCTCGGCGGCGGCGCGGCATGAGGCTCTTCTTAGATGGCAGGGGGAGATGTAGGTGTGGTCGTCGGCTGCACACAGGGGACGGGGCTTGGGGAGGGGAGGGCAGGTGGAGGGACAACGCACGCACCTCGGGGTCATCTGCTCGTCCAGTACGCACTTCTTCCCTCCAGCACAACGCACTCCGCTGCACGCTGAAACACCAAGTAGGTTAAGGTAGCGTGGAGGAGGATGGGTTTAAAGAGACGTAACAAACATGCAACTAAGTTTGAATGTGTTAGATGACGCGCAGGATAGTGTGGGGCAGGCATGATCGGCGGCGTTGTAAAGGATGGAAGGGGGATGAACGTCCTGGGATTTCTGGGAGAGACTTCAGAATTAATTAACGTCACACTTTTATGGATGACATTTACAAGCAAGATCAATCAATATCTTTGCCACATCATCCTTATTCCCGCATCCTCATGGATCATCAAGTTAATAGAACCCACTTCTTTCCACTAAATGATATAATACAGAAAATCCTATCAATTACTGGACACATAAGAATCTCACTGATAAGTTTGGTGTGTTCTACTTCTGTCCATTATTTCACATGGATAGATAAGGAGCAGAAGAGCAGAGACACAGAAAAAGAACTTTCTCACCGTTAAAGGCGTTATCGAGTTCAAGTGTTTAACTCCAACAAAAAAAATAGGGCACTTACTGACGTCTCTCCCTCGGTATATGTGTACAAGGCACTGTTGTCCCTTGTAGAATTCTTTCCTTTCAACAGATCACAAATATTGAGACATCCTGGTGTGTCTTCCATGACACTCGACATGTTAGATCTTTTGATCTTTTTAGTTTCACTCCAAAACAAAGACCTCATCGTAAATATACAATTATTACTTTTAACTACAATGATCCCAGTCTTCTCTTTTCAAGTGGTTTTAATTGCTTAATAGAGATGACGTCTCGTGCCGCGTCTAATCTGAGGCAGCCAGCCTCCCCTAGGGCAGACAACATCCCCCCGAAGACACTGCCAGACAATAGACCTCTCTCTCTCTCTCGGTGTCTGTAACTTGACGTTCACCGCCCCTTATTAGCGGGTCTACACGGGTGTACTGTACCCAACACCGACGAGCGAGGGCATGATGTATTGAGTGAAGTTCCCCAGACATATTCAATGAGCTTTAAATTTTACACTGGTGTAGGTGACAACTTCGACAGGTTTATGAAGATCAGTGAGTGCTATATTATACAGTGGACGCGGAGGCCGAGCGATTGTAACACTCACCTCACAAAAAACGGTCGCCAGTTCGAGTCAAGCGATCGGACACGCCTAAGTAGATAATGACGAAAATTACGATGCTAATTTCTTCGACTTTAGCAAAGCATTTGACAGAGTACCGCATCAGAGGCTTCTGAGAAAAATTAAGGCTCATTGTATCGAGGGGAAAGTTTTAAATTGGATAAAATCATGGCTCACCGATAGAACGCAGAGGGTCGGCGTAGATGGTGTTAAATTTGAGTGGGGCCGTGTAACCAGTGGGGTTCCCCAGGGGTCAGTACTAGGCCCACTCTTGTTCATAATCAACATAAACGATCTAGATACTGGGATCAGCAGTGACATAAGCAAGTTTGCGGATGACACCAAAATAGGGCGGCAGATTAATTCAGGGCAGGATGCAAATGCATTACAGGAGGATCTAAATAAACTGCAGGGGTGGTCTGAAAAATGGCAAATGAAATTCAACACCAGCAAGTGCAGCGTACTTAATATTGGAAGAACAAATACTGTCAATGTATACAGCCTTAACAACATCAACCTAGAGAAGTCGACTTGTAAAGAGACCTCGGGGTACTTGTAAGCCCGGACCTACGGCCTAGAAAACAGTGCGTTAATGTTCGAAATAAGGCAAACAGAGTATTGGGTTTTATATCTAGAAGTGTAAGTAATGAGAATGCAGAGGTCTTATTGCAACTATATCTTGCGCTAGCCAGGCCGCACCTCGATTATGCGGTTCAGTTCTGGTGCCCCTATTATAGAATGGATATCAATTCACTAGAGTCGGTGCAGCAAAGAATGACGAAAATTATTCCGGGACTTAGAAACCTTCCATATCAGGATAGGTTAAAGAAACTAAACCTGTATTCCCTAGAAAGACGAAGAGTGCGTGGAGATATGATAGAAGTATTTAAGTGGGTGAAAGGAATCAATAAAGGGGATATAGATAAAGTTCTTATAATATCCGAGCAGGATAGGACTCGAAGCAACGGATTTTAGTTGGATAAGTTTAGGTTTAGGAGGGAGATAGGAAGGAAATGGTTCACAAATAGGGTGGTGGACGAGTGGAACAAGCTTAGCAACTTTGTAGTAAGTGCTGGAACGCTGGAAAGTTTCAAAAGGAGGCTGGATAGATCCATGGATGATAGAGAGTGGTAGTAACTCTCGACAGGAGCTGCCATGCACAGGCCAACCGGCCTATTGCAGACTCCTTATTTTCTTATGTTCTTATGTTAAGTCCGAGTGTCGAATCTGCACTGCCCCTAACAAACCAGACCGTCAGATTATATGGCATCTAACTCCATAATACAGTACTTTACGATTATTCAAGGCACCCTAAGTGGTATTTTTACACCTCATGCGAGCTTCTGATACTAAACTGTGAGCAACAACACCCTCTGAGTGGCGGGTGACCAGACGGGTTGTGCTCATCACGGGAGGGCTTACAGCTCGGCCATATACTCACCAAGACGATAGTGATCAAACTCGAGGCTTATAAACAGTCAGGGTTTACTTTATAACGAATTGAAGGGGTTAAATATGAGTTGGTATTCATGGCTATATTAAATGTATCACGGTGAATATCATGGCGCGGGGGAGAGAGTATTAGAGTCTTCTACGGCCATCATGTTAAGAGTTATGATATACAATGTTGTGGTGTTGAAGGGCGTGACGTGATGATGATGGGGTGTGTGACGTGATGATGTTGGGGTGTGTGACGTGATGATGTTGGGGTGTGTGACGTGATGATGTTGAATGGTGTGACGTGATGATGTTGGGGTGTGTGACGTGATGACGTTGGGGTGTGTGACGTGATGATGTTGAAGGGTGTGACGTCATGATGTTGGAGTGTGCGACGTGATGATGTTGAATGGTGTGACGTGATGATGTTGTGGTGTGTGACGTGATGATGTTGGGGTGTGTGACGTGATGATGTTGAATGGTGTGACGTGATGATGTTGGGGTGTGTGACGTGATGATGTTGGGGTGTGTGACGTGATGATGTTGAAGGGTGTGACGTCATGATGTTGAATGGTGTGCTAGAATCGACGTTAAAATTGCACCGAGAGACAACCATAACGAGGTGTAATTTCTCATCTCCAGTCACAAGAAAAAAAAAATAATAAACACGATATCACTCGAGTTAGGACGGGCGGGGCAGGTGTATAGTGTATCGTAACACACCTAATAAGCGCTCACCACTTCCCTGAACTACTTTTCCTAGAAGGTGCTGATCAGAGGTCCCTTCCTGGCTTTTTTTTACTCCCCCTCCGCTCTTGCACAACTTTTTCTTGGAGGCCATAATCTACAACACTGCAGATGCTTGTTTAATTTGCTGTCTGTTTTTCTCTCCCTAAGTGCTGTAATAATATGGACGTTTGTGTATTGTTATTTCACTCTTTTTCACTATTTCACAACATTACGTTCAGATAAAAGCATTTAATATTGTATTGCAGTGTCTGAATTATCAAAGATTTCGTTTATATGTGATACCTGACTGGGGAAATTAAATGCACCTGGTTACGGCCACGATCCAGTTAGGCACATCTTCACATCCACAAATATGAGGAGATAATTTTTCGTAACAAACCTTGAAAACCTGGAGCCTGGTGCTTGATTATAAGGGTCTATGCTATCATTATTTTTACACCGACGTAAGTATTAATCAATGGTGTGCCCCTGAGTGGTCCTTCTGGTTAATTTTACTGAGCGTTCTGATGCTTCAGCCTATAGTCCTCTCCTGTAGGTCACTGTGGAGCATGACAAGACATTCAAGTTAGGAGACCTTTACATCCACTCTTGTGCCTTCTGGAAAAAACATCTAACAAAATCTGTGGACCATCTGTGTGTATAATTATAACAACGTCACTATACGTGTAGACATTTTTACGGTGGATAGTCTCACCCAACTGGTCGGGCATTCAGCAGAGTTCTTCCGTCTGATAATTTTATTTACATCTCAAACGATACGAAAAAAAAAAAACATCTGAGAGAAACTACAATTATCTTTTTCCCAGTTATGTTCACAGTGAATTTGGACAATAGAAAAAAGTTAGGTTTCTAGTATTTGTGACGTCGGCCAGTGTACCAGATGGCGATAGAACTATACACCATCGCTTTCACTAAATATCATCACGCCTTATCTTGTTCAGTTGGGCAACGCTCAGGTCTAAAATCCCTCGGTGTGAAACTAACACAGATACGGTTCATTACAGCCGAGACTCGTGGCCATCAGGACTGTTTCACTAAACCTCGTCATAATGGCTTCGTGGTCGGCGGAAAAAGATGTTTGGGCTACTGGCCTTTAAGGGAATAAAACGTGAACCCGGTCATAAAGACTAAATGGCACTAAGACAACAATTACTAAATTTGTGAAAGTTGATGAGACGTGATGATTGATTACATAAACTGTAGAACTGTTAATATGACATAACACCAAGAACTTTAAAATGAAAATAAACTTGTTCAACTCATCATAACAATGGTACGGGTTTCTCTAATGACTTTGTTCAGCACTTATGATTAATAATGTCCTATAATGAACTGCTTACAGCCTCAAGATTATACGGTAATAGCCCTAAATCAGAAAATAAGTTAAGACTATATATTAAATTAAAACTACACAGTCGATATTTATGTTTTCAAGCAGTCAGAGTGAGAGAGTGTAGTGGGGAGGCGAGGCTGAGAGAAGATTACTACTTACATGTTAAAAAGTTGTGTGGAAAGTCTAACTGATGTGGAATCTTATCATACCACTCTTCTATTAAAGGAAAATATCATATATATTTAGCCAATTAAATATACGTGAAACAGAGGATTTCTCCCCCAGTGATATATTTTAGCCTCTACCAATACCGCCTTCAGTACCAAATGACTGAGGGTTTTACTATTGATGACGACAAGTTAACTGATATATAATGATAAATAATGACAATTCTCGGTAACAGAAAAGATCATTGGTTGTATAATAAATTCAGCAGACTTTGTAGGCATTAAAAAAACTAAATTGGGGTTGGTATATAAAAGAGAAACCTTCAATTACTATGAGGGTATAATATAATTCTCTTACCGCATATTATGCTTTGTATGAAGAGCTTTCTAACCTAACCTAACCTAACCTAACCTAACCTAACCTAACCTAACCTCTCTGACTCGTTTGTGAGAGAGTGTACAGTTGTGTTTTTGTGTTTATTAATCATGTTGTTCTGACCAAAATATGACTATAATACAAAGGCGATCTGTGAACTAACGATTTTGTGTACGTTCATTGACAAAAGCAGCAACAGGGCACGACCATGTACGATCAAAGACAAAAGTCGTGTCGCAGTTTTGTCCGAAGATTAAATATAACTCGTGAAACATCATGAGAGCCCTACCATAAGGCAGAGCGCACCAAAGGTTTAGCCCTCCGGCATATGTTTTCACCAAATTTCACGACACGACTTTTGTCTTTCATTGTACACATGCATTTTTATATGTGGACAGACATAAGGGTACAAACGTTAGCACAAACGTATACACACACACACACACACACACACACACACACACACACACACACACACACAGAATTCAGTAGTGAATAAGAGGGCATACAAGATTATTCTCTCCCCTTCCTACTCCACATATCAAGAAGCGCTCAACACACTGACCCTCTCGGCTCTCTCTGACCATCACCACGACCTCATCCGCAAATTTGGTGAGAAGCTTTTACACCTCGACACCGGCTCTTACTCCCACCCGAGAGCCCTCGTCCGAGAATTGCTGTTCTACACCACAACCGCATCCAGCCCAAACGAGCATGTACTGATCGCTATAAGAACAGCCTAGTCCAACCATTGTAAAAACCGTGGTACTGTGTTCTGTACAACTCATCCGGCAAGCCTGACCGACACTATTGGACAGACTTCCTGTGACGGACGGCATGTCGACAAGTGTGTGTACCAGGCTTATAATGTGAGTAACTTTTAGGAAACATTATTCTGGTCACGCAGCTCCGTGTGAAACTAATAAAACAATGACCAAAAAACATTACCTGGCAAACATAGCGGTTCATTACACTGGTGCGAGAGGAGGCGCTTATAAATCACTTGGAGGCTCACGAGTGAATTTATGCGAGTGTGACGGGGACCTAGTTCACCTACCGGGAACGTTAATCACAGAACGTGGCAGCAATTATACGAGCGGCCGTTATTTATGTGGCTGTTACAGGTGTCCGTGTGTGTGTGTGGCATCAGATACCCGATATATTGCGGTGATATACGCCGCCCGCCATCACCTGATACCTGGCCACACCGGGACGCAATATTGAGGTGAGACACGATCTACACACACACTGTGGCTAGTCCTGTGTGTGTAGTCTCCGCTGGCAGGGGCAGGGTACGTACACTAGCCTGGCAGGGGAGGATTACTTACTCTGGCAGGGATAGACGGACGTAACGTGGGGAGGTAAAAAGGGTTGTACAATTCCTCGGTAAAGCAACACATCATCGTTCTATTGTATTATTAACAAAGATAAATACGTGGGTAAATTATTTCAGTTATTTGGACTTGATAAAAATCGTTGTGTCATAAAGTTACTAAGGAAAGAATGACATACAGCAAAGGAAATTATACTTCATGTCCATAAATAGTTCGGATTCAATATTCTGACAAATATTCTGATAACAAGTTCAAGGTGTGAGTGATCTATAACGCCAAAGTGACTGTTTATCGACCACGTATAGGGACAACTTAGTGTGTTTGAGGGAAAGGTTTATCAAGTTCAGAGGAGATTATATTGAAAAGGGTAGAGAATTGTGGTTCGGCCTTTATATTATATACAGAAACTGGAATACATTTAGACTGTCCATCGTGTTTTGGTAGAGGAGAGAGAATATGCTTGTGTGTGTGGGGGCAAACATGTGTATTCTGGTAACCCTTGATGATGTATATAACACCGTCAAAGCCACTTCATTAGGTCCCATCTCTCTCATACAGCTTATTAAATTCCACATCCGTCTCATGTTTTCTAGTCTTGACAGTCTAGTCCCAAGAAAAGCTATAGGACCTGATGATATCTCGTGTTATTCCACAAAATGTACACTTGAACTTGTTACTGTCCTCTCGAAGCTTAAAATAAAAAAAACTTTCCTTCTCCACTCCATTCACTTCAGACCCACTCCTTCATAACTCATAACACTGACTTTACTTTTAACACCTTCAATGAATCCTAACCTAACCTAACCTAACCTTGTATTGCTGTTGTTATTCATAAAACTATCAATTACAGGTATGGCATCAAGCTCACTTTTACTAAACTTTCATCTGTTGTTATTTTGTTTTTATAGATCTCCTCCACCTCTCCAACAACCATATCAGTACTGCTGTAGATGGTTCACACCCAGACGACTTTCTCTTCAATACTGAGGTGCCTTAAGGGTCACTTGTGTACCTACTGTCATCTTACTTTATATTAATGACCTCCTCTGCATTCCTTCCAGCAGTACACAATCCCTTGATGATGACACTAACTTGCCCACTAGATTATCTTACCGCTTCCATGCCCATACTCAGTCAAGTCTCCCAGCACATCGCTATAACTAATACAACTCACTGCAATGAATACAAATATCGAGTCCATAGCTCAGTTGGGGCACAAATTGCCTTGTTACATCCACCGCCGCCAATACGCTCCCACTGTCTCTCACGTGTCCACTATCATTCACTGACACCAATATCAATTAATTTCCTTGGTCTTGCTCTTGTCAATAACTTCTCCTAGGTTCACTACATTTCCACTGTTGATATAAATGCTTCCAAAAACACTATAGGTTTTATTTATCGACAGCCGTCTAAACGTAATGATAATCACGTCCGCGCCTATAAAGAATACTGCGGTCTTGTGTAGAGTGACGAGCAAAGTTTAGTCTAATACAGTACCAGCAACGACCAGCCCCTCCATTCCTTTCACCTCCTCTCCATGGCATATGATCTACCCCTTAGCTATCCTCTTTTTGCCACTATTTCCCTGTGTAGTCTGCCAATGATACCTAATCCATCATCTCATCTCCTTCCATCGCAACTCTCATCACTATTACGTCACTCCTGCCCGATGGTAGTTCCACTAAGTTGAAATTCATCATCATTCAGTTCTTTTATTTTTATTTTTATTTCCGGTCAGTAGAACTTCCTTTCTTCTCTTACGTCTTTCTATGTATCTACAAATTAAACTTCTAGAGATGTAGGTTATTCTCTCACCTCTTATTACACACATATGGTTTATATTTCTCATTCCCGTAGCTAAACAACAGTATATATATATATGACATACGTACTCTGGCAGGGTCCATAGTGAGCCACAAGCAGTCTCTTCTTCTTCCTACAAGCACGCTTCAGCAAGTGGCACTCAGATTTGTAGCTGCGGCCGTCAGAGCCACACACAGCCTCCTTGTGTTTCAGGTGGCACTGCGGCGAACACACGCAGCGCGGCGCACCACAGCGAACCACACACTTCCGGTCCTCACCACAGCGCACCCCGGCACATGTCGCTGTTGGGGGAAAAATTCATCCTGGTGAGGTGCTGGTGAAGTGGCAGTCATGTAGTGAGGTAATGGTGGGAAGTGGTGTGGTAGGTGGTGAGGTGATGGTGGGGAAGTGGTGTGGTAGGTGGCGAGGTGATGGTGGGGAAGTGGTGTGGTAGTGGTATGGTGATGGCGTCATAGTTGAATGGTTAGGTTAGGTTAGTGTTTCGCAGGATCTTAGTGTGTGTGTGTTATATGGTGTATCACTACCGTAGAGTTTTACCTCACCTGCCGACATTCAGTGTTGTATACCTGATAAATCATGACTTATTCACTTCCATTAATTTCCAACATCCATCTAAGTTATTGGCTATAATTTCTCATAACCAACCAGTCATTACCTTTAGTAATTAATAAGATAGGGTTCATAGACATGGGTAGATAATTACACTTATGTTTATTTAGCAAGGTTCCATACACTGATTTACAATTTACATATGAGTCAATCAGGCCAATCAGAATGCATCATCTTCATTACACATATAAACAATGGTTGCATCATCACATCACTACTCCTAGACACTCGCCATATAAAACTTAATAAAAATTGGATCCGAATTAGTAAACATATCCTGTAAAAAATTGTCAACTAATGAGAATGCATGACCCAGTGCCAAGGAATTATCCAAGAAGACCGGACAGCTCGCCAACTGCACTGGTTAATTATTATCCTCGAACATGATCCACATATCGATTAACATCCAAGGTCCCAATTACTGCTGGGTAGACAGAGGAAAAAATGGCGTAAAGAAACTTGCCTATAACTTTGATCTGTCATGGGATTGAAGCCGGGACCACTCACTTGCGAGGCGGGCATGCTAACTACAGGTGTAAGGGCCATCCCCGCCACCCCCCATCCCCCCACCCCCATCCCCCCCTCACATACACCCCCCACTCACACTGTATCAAATATTTGAAGGGAATATTCTATTTTGTCCTTTAAAACACCTTGTGTGGCCAAGCAGTTGAATTTAAGTTTTGCCGATATATAGAACCAACTATACCAGGTGTTCATAGCAAACATTACAGACTCGTCAACACACACACGGGGGTGGTGGGTTAGGAGTGTTTGGCGGTGTTCCCAGATACACACATCTCTCACTCTCTCTGATGGGAACGAAATCTGAATAGTTATTGTACAGAGGAAGTGCAGGGGATTGGCACCCTTTGGGAAAATACTCAACAAGGTACCATTGACCCGTGACTTCCGCACCACAAATTTGACCTCGTCCTGCAACAACTGCGTCTCTCATGCAGCGGTGTGACGCCACCCGCAGTCCTCTGGTGTTACAAGGTCAATGTCGGCTGCCTGGGCCAGGATCTTGCCTTAGAATTCCGAGAAGATTATGCTAAAACATTCTGCGAGCTACAAACTAACTTATCAGCAAGATCCTTGGAGACCTTTCTTAATAAGCGAAGCCGCGTCAAATAAACTGAGTCGCTGTTACTGCTAGAAGAACCACGAAAACCCGGAAAACTGCCACTCCTCGATGATTGCAACACGCAATAATGCCGGCGGGAGCCACTGGACGTCGGGTCCAGTATGTCATAAGTTCGGTGGAAAACCATTGCGAGGGAACAGTAATGGCGCCGCTCCTCCGAATATAAGTGAACCGCTTGAACCTTGATTGACTTGAAAGAATGTCTATTATGCTAATTTTTTGCAATAGGTGGAGAGTTGCAATCAAAGGACTAGGAGGGGTAGAGTCGAGGCACGGCCACAAGCACCTACACAATGTCTCGCTAGTACGTAGCCTTCCTATTGTGAGGGAAACGTTAGCCGTCGAACTGGCGCCTTAATATTCATCAGTGATCGTCTCCTCTGACTCCCCTTTGTTCCCTTATTGAAGAGAACGTTTTTATGTGATGGGACAAGAGGATATTCCTATACTAATGACAGACGCTGCACCAGAAGACACGTTTCTAGATATTTTTTGTTGGGGCAGATCCCGAAGGTCATCAAGTGTCGCCGAACGATGTTAGGTAAATTGAAAATGTCGGCAGATGTTGATGTGTACAGGGGGAACCGGGAGACGCTACAACTGTGATTAACCTTCCAACACCACCAGAACCATTCTAACCATATAAATTATCCTCGCCCTACAGCAGGAGAGTTATAGCAATTCCCGACATTCATACATATTTGCCATGGGAAAGGAAAAAAAAAAGAAAAGATATTTGGTTTTCATTGACTTGTGTTGCTGCCATATTTGAAGACCAGAGTAGCCAGTACGCCATATTCTCTGGGGTACTTCGCGTCCTCCGGGGAATCAACATACACCCTCGCTGGACTGTGTCTGATTTTAGCAGGAGCAGAATAGTTGAGTCATAGGGAGACGGTGATGGGTGTGGGAGGGGGGCCTGTGGGAGTCTAGTTGCTGGGTGTGGGAGGCTGTGGGAGTCTAGTTGCTGGGTGTGGAGGGGGCCTGTGGGAGTCTAGTTGCTGGGTGTGGGAGGGGGGACCTGTGGGAGTCAAGTTACTGGGTGTGGGAGGCTATGGGAGTCTAGTTGCTGGATGTGGGAGGCTGTGGGCGTCTAGATGCTGGGTGTGGGAGGCCGTGGGAGTGTGAGGTGTCGGTGGTTGGCAGGAAAAGGGAGAAAAGTGTAGGGAGGAGGAGGAGAAGGTGGAAGAGGAAGAAGAAAAAGGAGGAGGAAGTAGAAAAAAGGAGGAGGGAGGAGAAAAAGAGGAGGAGGAAGAAGAAAAAGGAGGAGGAAGAAGAAAAAAGGGAGGAAGAGGAAGAAGAGGAGGAAAATGAAGAAGAGGAGGAAGAAGAAGAGGAGGAAGAAGAAGAGGGGGAGGAGGAGGAATGGGAGCTGAGTCACATTGGTCACACCACTGATCACTGGCTTCCCTCTCACCCGCCCACCCCTACCTGCTGCCTCCTGCTTATTTCCTGCTACCCTCTGCATATTTCCTGCGCCTACGTGCTACCTCCTGCATATTTCCTGCTGCCCCCTGCTTACTTCTTGCTCCCACCTGCTATTTTTTGCTTACTTCTTATTTACTTCTTGCTCCTACGTAATATCTGCTGTCACCTGCTTACTTCCTTCACCTATCTAGTGACTCTTGCCTGCTGCTTACTTCCCAACCCTTCCTGCTTACTTTCTTCCCATTTCTGCTTACTGTTTTCCCTTTCTGCTTACTTTTTCCCCTACCTGCTGCCTACTGCTTACATCTTGCCCCCTGTCTCCTGATTACTTCCTGCTCCTACCTGCTAAATCCTGTTAACCCTTCACTACGGGGACGCCACATTTAATATTTCATTTGGCTGACGTCAGACGATTTTATTCAGCTCAGAGGGGATGCCATGCACAAGGGGTTAGGAGGGAGGAGGAAGATGAGAGGCGGAGGAGGAGGAGAGAAGAAGTTGATGAATGATTTATAAGGTACGACACAGGATGAGCACCAACCATAATGATGAGGATAAACAGTAAAGTAAGCACGCCCTTCTTAAAGAAGTAAGCATGACCTTCTTAAAGTAAGCACGCCCTTCTTAAAGAAGTAAGCACGCCCTTCTTAAAGTGAGCACGCCTTTCTTAAAGAAGTAAGCATGACCTTAAAGTAAGCACGCCCTTCTTAAAGAAGTAAGCATGACCTTCTTAAAGTAAGCACGCCCTTCTTAAAGAAGTAAGCATGACCTTAAAGTAAGCACGCCCTTCTTAAAGAATTAAGCATGACCTTCTTAAAGTAAGCAAACCCCTTAAAGTAAGATGACCTTTCTTAGTACAGAAAGAAGTACATGACCTACACAGTAAAGTAAGCATCTAAAGAAACATTAAAATTCTTAAAGCAAGCATGACCTTCTTAAAGAAGCACGCCCTTCTAAAGAAGCAAGCATGACCTTAAAAGTAAAAAAGTAAGCATGACCTTAAAGTAAGACGCCTCTGAAGAAGTAAGCATGACCTTCTTTAAAGTACATGCCTCTTAAAGAAGTAAGCATGACCTTCTTAAAGTAAGCACGTAAAGAAGTACACGCCCTTCTTAAAGAAGCACGCCCTTCTTAAAGAAGCAAGGACCTTCTTAAAGTAAGCACGCCCTTCTTAAAGAAGTAAGCATGACCTTAAAGTAAGCACGCCCTTCTTAAAGAATTAAGCATGACCTTCTTAAAGTAAGCACGCCCTTCTTAAAGAAGTAAGCATGACCTTCTTAAAGTAAGCACGCCCTTCTTAAAGAATTAAGCATGACCTTCTTAAAGTGAGCATGACCATCTTGTAAGAGAGGGCCACCAACTACTCGTGTTTCCTCACACGGTGTCTGTGTTGCTTTGCGCTTCACCCTGAGTGTGCAGGACGCCACCAGGGGGCGCCCCAATAAACTAACCCTCACACTCGCGCCAGGGCTCGTCTAAATTTGGTTCAACTAAGTCAGTAACATCAGCATAGGTACAGCAGGTGTAGTGAGGTACAGCAGGTGTAGTGAGGTACAGCAGGTGTAGTGCGGTACAGCAAGTGTAGTGCGGTACAGCAAGTGTAGTGAGGTACAGCAGGTGTAGAGTGAGGTACAGCAGGTGTAGTGAGGTACAGCAGGTGTAGTGAGGTACAGCAGGTGTAGTGCGGTACAGCAAGTGTAGTGCGGTACAGCAAGTGTAGTGAGGTACAGCAGGTGTAGAGTGAGGTACAGCAGGTGTAGTGAGGTACAGCAGGTGTAGTGAGGTATCAGGTGTAGGGAGGTACAACAGGTGTAGTGAGGCACAGCAGGTGTAGAGTGAGACACAGCAGGTGTAGAGTGAGACACAGCAGGTGTAGAGTGAGACAGCAGGTGTAGAGTGAGACACAGCAGGTGTAGAGTGAGACACAGCAGGTGTAGAGTGAGACAGCAGGTGTAGAGTGAGACACAGCAGGTGTAGAGTGAGACACAGCAGGTGTAGCAGCAGGTGTAGAGGAGACACAGCAGGTGTAGAGTGCAGGTGGTACAACAGGTGTAGTGAGGCACAGCAGGTGTAGAGTGAGATACAGCAGGTGTAGAG